GCGTTTTCACATTGCATCAGGAATACAGTTTTTTTTTTTTTTTTTTTTTTTACTTAAACTTGCTAGAAACGGACGCTTCAATGTATGCACAACAAATTTTGATAAAATCGATTTGTGGTCCTAGGCCAGACTAGAACTTTAAAATCGCGATCATACATGATTATTTCAATGCATGATTATTGACTAAGGTATGTGTATTTTTTCTGATATAAAAATGGTGTTGCACAAACTCGAAACAAATGCACAAAATTTTATTAAATAGTTACAGAAAATCTATACCAATTTTAATTGTTTTATAAAAAAATAACGAAACATTTGCATACTCTGTAAGATTTTTCATGATTTGATGATCGTTTTTAAACGCTTTAAACTCCTGTATTTCAACAAATTAACGAAATTCGCACAGAAGAGATTCTACTTGACATTTTTTAATTTTATTTTACCAATTCAAAGATATTGTTATTGTATGAATTCGGACGCAGTGAGGTAAATTCTGGAATTTCCTTTGTAGTTAAAGTTTGTATTATTTTTACGTGGTTATTGCTCTTTTTTTCTAATGAATGTAATAAAAAAATTATTAAAAAAGAATGAAACCACATTTCAAACAAAAAACAAAATTTCAGTGATTTCAATTAAGTAATCCAAGCATCGTTGTATACTTTTGCCAAAAAGCACGAGAATCAAATCAGCAGCTGCAACTTTTCCTCTTCCAATGTTCGTCAACTCATTTAATGCTACAAACACATTTTCAAATGCCACTCGATGCTTCATCTCTACTCACACAACAAAAATGTAATCGTACGGTTTCTTATCTTCTCGTATACATCAGAATTCAAGTCGATCATCTCTATCATTTCACGCTGGTATTGTAAATAATGTCCCGAGATTTTCACGAAATGCAGCTGCTGTTGCATTACCACCAGCCCCCCGCGCTCGGCTCAATTTATTTGGGTCACCGATTTGTTACGTATATTCTTCCTCTCTCTCTCTCTCTCTCTCTCTCTCCCTTTCACAATATCCTACTTTATCAGAGCCAATACATTTTTTTTTATTGCTACAAGTCCGTTGTTGCACTTGGATTATGGAGTGGTTTTTGTGTACTGTGCACACTACTTGCCAAAGTCGGATACATAAAGTTTCGTTATCAAGTGGCGCTTGGTTTAGCGACACGTAAGTAAAACGTGTTTCGTGCTCGCTCCGGCCATTATAACCAATGCCCCTCGTTACATTGTGTACAAAATGAATAGTTTTCCTTTTTGCTTTTACGAGTAAAATACATAATATCTCACTTTTTAATGTATGCATAGTCTTAGTTGGAGCACAGTATGATTCAATAAACCATTTAAATGTAAATTTGATTAATTTAACCAAAGTATGGCCAATGGAATTTTGTATGTCCCGAGTATGGCAATTTACATGTATATTCCATCCTGAAGTTCCCAGCAGCGCGTAAACACGTGAAAGTGTTAGTCTGCAAAGTTTCACGCACTACTTAGCAAACCACGGCAGGGGGAGGTGGGGGTACAAAGAAAAAAGCTCTTAACAAGGAAGGGATGAAAAAAAAAAGGGAGGAAGGGTAAACAAACTGTACACCGTGGTGGAGCAGCGGTGCTCGACAATCCGTGGAAAACTTGGTCCTAAGGGCGGGGAAGGAAAGTTGAAGCTTCGCTAAGTCGGGCACGTATATTGGCCGGGCCGTGCGCTTCTCGATAAAATAATGAGGGAATGACTGGATTCAATTTTCCTCCTGTGACCCCCTCCGTCACTGTCTTTATTTTACCCCCTCCCCCCTTCACACTTTTTTTTCGATATCACCATGGGGGAGTGAAGTTTTGCGCGTACGCCTACTTTTCATATTTCCTGCTGAGAACGTGGCTGAACTGCGAGAGTAGGATGGAGCAAGTCCAGGGTTTTGATGCATTTTTTATCCTTTCATTTTTTTTTTCATATTTATTCATTCGTGCATTTATTTATTTTTTCACTCGACAATCTAAGCATTTTTCATTTGTTCGCTTACGTTAATTCCAATCAATAAAAAATATACCATCTCAAAAATCGTGCACCCATCCATTATTTGGGACACAGTCGGGCTTTTATCACAGATGTAATGCTCCTGGAGTTTGCTCATCGCACGTGGCTCGTCTGTGCACACATACATTGGGGCGTCGTTTCAGCTTTTACGAGTCCCAGGATTCTACGCCGAGATGCTTGCCGATCGAGTTCGCCGATTTTATTCTCTAAAACATTGAGAAATCGTGTATTGGTAAACATCGACTTTGCATGAAAACAGAATTTTCAATCCGTAGGAATGAAAGTCAACATTAGTTTTGAGTAACGTGAAGTTCCTTCCATACTACAGTAATGTTTGAAAAATTTATTACGAAAAATATTATGCAAAAATATTGAAACAGCGGAAAATCTTACTAGATGTTTATGTAGCTTTAATGATAAATTGAAAAATTTCACTGTCCAGCTAATTCTTTGTTCCATGTTACACCTATAATTATTCTTACATTCAAATAATCTTTAACTTGTTAACTGTATAAAAGTTGCTAGATACGTGAAAAAAGTTTATCAAAGCTGTAGTTGTGAACAAATATACCAACTTTCTCAATACATAAGGTAAATTTGGGGATAACTCGAGTAAGCATAAGTATACATAAATTTATTGCAAAATTTCGTGCTACTTCTACCCTATATACTCGTATCTCCGTTTGCTACATACGTACATTACAGAATTGCCGGATATTTTTCAAAATAACTCGCGTCCTCTTGATAACAATATAAATATGTGAAAGGAAATTTCTACGAATATACCGATGTACGTCGTAGATAGCGTACAAGCACAGTACAAGCGTATAGCTCTTGAGGCTCGTAAATTTTTTCAAAGTGGCCCACTAGTCATTTGCGCGTAGTCTGTATAATTTTTTTTTATCGAGGCACTTTGAGTGCGGCAAAAAGTGAAATATTTGCACTTTAAAGGGTGACAAATATCTTGTGTGAAAGAAAAAATACAAAAATTTATCACACCGAATTTAAGATCAATACAATACACTGATGTATAGTACGCACATACCGCCATGACCGCGAAGGAAGTCATTACCATGAAAAGTAATTTCTCCGCTTGTTGAACGACTTTCGTTGAATCAACAAATATTCCATCCTATTCCGGAGAAAAATGGTAAGAAAATTGAAACGAAGAGACTAATGAAAGAAAAAGGTATCACGAGCGGTGAATGAGCCGTGGGGGTGGAGGAAGGAGGAAAAAAAAAGACAAAGTCATCGGTACGGTCCGATAGCGTTGTGCCAACAACCGCGCCGGAAACTGCATTAAGATTAAATTCACTCGGAACGCGGGAAAATAATTCCAGAGCTCCGGAGGATATTAAAATTCCTTGGATCTCATTCTCCTTTCTGCTTCTCTTTTTTTTCCACCTCACCCTCTCGGTGGAAGCGCTTTCATTTGATGGCTGGCGAAGGTTTTTTGCTCATCCGAGTGACGTTTATTTGTTTTGAATCTTTTTTTTTTTTCTTTTTCATCCTCTCAACGACCTGACATCCTACCAACTTCAGAAGAAAACGCTATGCTCTTGAAAATTGTTGCTATTATCAAAATAGTATCATAATTTGTGTTCACGATTTTTTTAAATTGATAAAATAAGTATTCAACTTTAATTTTTTTTTTATATCTAACCCAAAATTAGATTTCATGGGTAGCAGCCAAAGGTTCGACCATACATTTCTCCCCACAGACCAGAATCCCCACCGCAAGTGGCTCTCCATGCTCATAAATAATACGCAGAGACTCACAATTTGCTAAGCATCGGGGAAGGATCTACTAAATCTTCGAGACGAAGGTTGCAGCTCTGAAATCCGCTTTCGTATAATATATACATACACACGTACACCCACAAGGTTTCTTCTCTCCGTTTCTCGAGGCTTGCCCTCCTCCTCCTCCTTCATCCTCTGAACGAAGCGAAGCGATGACAAGCCAATCGCATCGCTTTATGCATACCTAATGTAGCGGCGGGCTTATACCTCGTATGGTGTACTGTATGTATTTACGAACTGATCTACCTGTCGGTGTCATAAGCGATTGAACTATTTTTTCGGTGAAAGGGGCGCTTTTATGGCGTTGCGTTTGGGTGTGAATTTTAATTATCTATGTCCTTTCGATTCTAATGACTGTAGTTACCTTCGTCCGGTATTGCTGTGAAAACGAAAATCATTTTCTCTAGTCTTGTTATTTTTTCGCTTCTTTTACTTATCATTTCAAGCGTCGAAACAGATTTTATATCCTCCCAACTGCTAAAATACACCCAAGTACCATTATTATAAAACACGAAAAGACACAAATAACACTTTGGCTTCGAATGAAAACGCACCAGCTCACGTATACAGGTAAGATAAATATACATACATGTAAAACGTGGATCCAAAAAGTGCCCCAAGCTATGGGTCGTGATTGTAAAATTTTTACGCTTCAGCAAAAAATCTTATTTGAAAAATATATACAGGTCCCGTATGAATATCCATTTTCGACTGTATCCATAAAGTTTTTTGAAAATTGATTTCTTTTTCCTTTTTTTACTCAAATGCGAAATACTCCAAAAATTTTATTCAGACTTTATGAAAATATTAAGGTGTGCAACATGGAAAGGGGACACAAAAAATGCCAAAAAAATTGATTAAATCCGCGGATCCAGTGCGAGAAGGAGTTGGCCAACTTTGTCATTGGAGCGAATTCAACACACTTTGCTCCTTCATGACTATTCATCGTATCTATGGTATACTTCAGGACCCTTAGCAAGGAGACCTGTATCCGGAAAAGTAAAACGTTTTACTGAGCCAGAAATTTCGCGACGTACCTTTACGTAGAAAGTTCACACAATATGGGTATGCAATGCTCGTTTGTATACGATAAATGCACTAGACATGCAAGGGAAAGAGAGAGAAGACCGTGACGAGCTCGCAGTCCATACCGCACACGCTCAATTGATGATGCACCGGACACTTGAACGCAGAGACCGTATAGTTCTTGACTCGTTGCTTGGTCAAAGCGCTCAATCACATTTGTCCGCCGAGTAGAACGCGCGTGCAGAGGAGTTTGGTCCGCGTAAGGTGATTGTGTGAGTTTTTGGTGAATTTTTTAGCAAAGCCTACTTCTTTTCTTCTTTTTTTTTAAATATTTTATTGGGACAACCAAGTGTTATACTTTTTTTTTTTTTTTTTTTTTTAATCTGATGAAGTTGTACTACTGCAGTGTTTAATTGTTATTTTGGCAAAAGTTGCCAAAATAATGGACAAAGTGGATCAGTTTAAGTATGATTGCTATACGTCAATTGTGTGCGAATATCAGATCTGATGTGTTGTTTAAATCATCATCGTGACCTGCACGAGGCTTTCAAGTGCTATACTTCCCTTTGTCATGTTTCATATGCAATGAATGGCTCTGAATTGAATAATCTCGCTGTTTGTGAGAAAACGAGAGCTCAGGAAATTCGTTCGAAAATGTCGTATAGTGGTTTAATTATATCAGAAAAGGCATTTAAAAATATTTTTGTAGTGTGATTGTTGACTCGAAAAAATTTGCGCGTGGCTCTCTTTGTTCGACGAAAACAACGTTTTTGACGTCCATAATTTTGCGATAAGACGTAATCGGTAGAAACTTTCGTGATTCAGATTGCCCGCAATTTCTCGGTGATGAACGAGTGTCAATGACATTAAACAAACAAGCGTGTGATAAAATATTTTTACAGATAACAAAAGATATAACTCGTGAAAAAAACGAAAAAGGGAAATTAATTTTGTTATTTTTCATTATTTCAAAGCTTGATTTGAGTCATTCAACTGTTTCCTGTTTGAGAAAAATAATATTGTAACGATCGAGTGGATTCGAAATACTTTATCGATTTCAGTGTGTCCTAAGTATACATTTCGGATGAAAAAAAAAAAAAAAAAAAAAAAAAAAGAGTATAAAATGGTCAAGGTATAAAATGACATGTCGGTGGGAAATAATTCTAATCGATTCTTTACTAATATCAAGATAATAGATTCACAGCTGTGATCGATTACCTTAATATTAATTGATTTGACGTTATTGCACTCATCCTCATTTAATAATGAGATTTTTATAAAAAATTTAATACCGCGTAGAAAAATGTTTACGGACAATCAATGAGACACTTAAATATTATCGTTTCCAAATTATGTGAATTTCTCACAAATTTTCTACAAGCTTGAATAACTTGGTTCCTTTATTGCAATGGTCAAATCACGATGATTCATTAACGTAACAACGCCACACAATCCAAACACTAGTTGAACAAAAATAATAATGAAAATCGCAATAATTAATAAAAATAAAACACTGAAGCGAAGACTCAGCAGGAAAATAAATGACTGCCTCGTTATACCAGCTGACCGTAATAATTATTTTTTTCCTCCGTTTTGATTATCCTGTAAAATAATATACGCGTGGAAAAAAAAAAACAGCTTCTCCGAAGCAATCAGCGAGCTACAATTAATTTTTTCACTTTGACGGAAAAATGACTAGGCTACGCACCGTACGTATCAAAAATACACGCGTGCGGTGCACTCGACTATGCATCTGATTTTCAATACTTTCTCACAGATCGAAAAGTCATACAATACAGCACGCGCCTATATCGCCGTGTCATTTATTTCGCAGAGCCCAGAGAGTCATTGATCCACAAGAGCCAAAAAAATGTCGCTGATCGAGCGATTGACGGAGAAGGTGAACGCCGTGGAGCCACTGATGATCGGTGACAGCCAGCTGACGTTTGACAGTGGTGAGGATCTGGACGAGTACCAGCTAGCCAAAGCAGAGCGGGAGCTCCGAGAGACGCCCGAAGTCGTACAGGAGGCGTTCAAGGTCCTCTGTGATCTGCTTGGAGGTCAGAGACACTTTGGCCTCGCCGTGGCATTCCCGACACCTCATCTGCTCCTCCTTCCTTTTTTTTTCCAGTACATATTTTGATACGAGTGATTTTTTTATTTTTCAATCCATCACTAAGCCGGTAGGTATGCCTGGTCGATGTGGAGCACTGCTGGGCTGAGTCATCAAATTGTAGGGAAAAAAACTAGCTGAGCACGCTTACGCAAGAGCTTCGAGTATTGGGTGTATTATGAAAAATTTACCAGTCACTTGGACGTTTTTCTCATTACCCGTGAAAAGGTGTACTTTTGCATTCGCAATGGACGGACACGTCTTGTGTATTTATCTTACAGTGCACTGTTATTTGCATGCTAAAAGTACAAACTTATTTATGCACACAACGCTTGTGGCTTTGAATGATTTCAAGATGACAATTCTTGGTATTTACGACAATCGTTAGATGGTAAATATTCTCTTTGTGGGTGGGCCAAATAATAAAGTCATTCCTTCCATCAAACCCAATTTACGGTATCTAATTCGTCCTACGAATAATACAGTTTCAACAATCTCCGTTTGAGCAGAATTAACCATATAAATTTGTTGAGTCAACCATGGCTGAGTTTCCACCGATTTTCGTCAATGGTTTTAAAACACTAGTGCAGCTGTTTCACAAAGTCTTTTCTGTTTCTCACGATTTCCTCGTTAACTTGGATTTCTCGATTTTGCAATCGTGCTCTTTGTTGAAATCTGCGTTTTAAAAAAATCACCTGAGAATTAAGCGGATGCGACGTTAGCTAGCACGTGACTCGGACGTCGCTATTGTTGTACCTGTACACGTGATTAGACAATTTTTGCGAAACGTCCACTTTTTTCACATTGTCGCATCTACAAACTACTTTGCTGCGAATCATAATGCCAACCGTAAATTTACAACAAACTGAGAAAGCATAAATTGTCGTTTCCACAGAAGAAGATGACTTGTACGTGCCGTTGGAGATGGAGTTTTTGCAAAAGTTCCTACGCCGGTGCAAGTGGTATCCGAAAAGCGCTTTCAAACTGGTACGTCATAGCTCGCCCCACTTATCAAATTTTCCATCATTCACGCTCACACCTCGAGTAAACACAAATATTTTACGACATCAACATTCGAGGAACATTTTCGGTGATCAAAAACAATATTCCTCGTGAAAACGCGTGTGCTTCTAAACAATTTAAACACTAAAGTATTGTAGAAAACATTGAATCGTTCGCGTCAACGCTCGTACGATGTCGGCTCTGTTGGCAGAAAAAAATAAAACCCATCGCATTCTCGATGCATAAAACATAAGACGGTTAGCACAATGCGCTTCAATAATTCAGCACCCGAAAGCCGAGCGCTTCCGCTAGACTAATCTTAATTTTCGATTCGCCAGATCAAGCGCTTCTACGAGTACCAGCAAAACCATCCGGAATACTTTGAGAACCTCGTACCAACCAAGGAACGGTCGTGCCTACTGTCTGGTTGTATACTGCCCCTACCACGGCGTACGGCCGAGGGTTGTCGGATCGTCGTCATCGAGGCGGGTGCCACCTGGAATCCCAAAGAAGTCACACTCAATCAGCTCTTTCGCGGTGTTATTGTATGCCTCGAAGTCGCCATAGCAGAGCCGATATCGCAGGTGATACTCATCCCAGTCGTTAAGTGATTATCATTATGAATGAAACAATCATTAGACTGATGTAACAACGTTTTATGTTTGATTATTGATACGTACAGTATTTTTTCAGAAGAATTTAACCCTCGAATTTTAAAAAGACTAAATCAGGTTCTATAAATATTTATTGAAAATTGACTAACTTTAGGTTAGTGGATTCTTTAACTCTACTGACAGACAATTATCTTAAATGTCAAGAAAATGATTTATTACCAAACATTTTACATGAATTCCATTTAATATTAATGAATATTCTTCGACATTCGTGTTTCCGTTATAAATTGGTCATAAATCATTGGTGTACGCAAAAAAAAATTTGAAACATTAAATTTTTTCAACATGAAAATAATGTAATGTAGTTCTGTTTACAAAAGTGGTAAATATTACAAACTTAAATACGAGAGAATCGAATAGTATCGTGGATATATATCAAAAAATAAAAAATAAAATTAAAATTTTTTTTCTGTACTTAACTAATTATAAATACAATAAAAATTCATAAATATCATACTCTAATCAAAAGTTCCAGATATCAATTTATAATAGTTTTTGGAAAGCAATATTTTATTGTTTAAAATTTTGTGCTTACGTTGATAAATGTATTTTCGTAAACAAAAATATTAACTGATTATAGTATTTTATATAGTGTTTTATGATAGTGTATTTATGTACGTAATTTATCCATCAGTGGTTCAAGCAAAAAAATTAAATTTGAGCTAATGAAAATAATGATTGTGCCAATTTATACTATTCCATCTAAAAAATTTGTGTTAAAAATTTCGTAGTTGTATACATCCGCAATATTTTCTGCATGATTTATGTATGGTTGAAAATTTAGTAAAAAATTCTTCTCAAGCACCAGCTTATTTGTTTTGATTTTAACAAAATTTTAAAATACGACCCAAAGAAAAAATCATTAAAAAATATTTAAATATCGCCGTGTCATTTATTTC